AGGTGTAGACCACTCTGAAAGATTTTACTATCAGACAGAGCAGTGAGGTGGGCAAAGGAAGAGGAGGGTGAATGGGGAGAGTTGACTTTGCTTACGGTGGGAAATGTTACACAGAGCAGATGATTCCCTGAGAGGACGTGACAGTGCGGGAGGGGGAGGTCTCAGGAAACTGGCTGCTTTAACAAAGCACCACAGAGTAGAAGACTTGAACAGTAGAGCCTCATTTCCCACAGCCTGGATCCTGGAAGTACGAGGTCAGGATGCCAGAGTGCTCTGATCCTGCTGAGGGCTTCTTCTTGACCTACAGGTGGCAGTCCTCTTGCTATGTTTTCACTTGGTGAAGAGCTTGCTCTCTGGAGTCCCTAATCCCATGGCAGGGGCCAATCATCTCTGTCTCTTCTTACCCTGATCACCTCTGGAAGAGGCAGTCATCTTCTGATACCATTCCCTTGGGGATTAGGCTCCAGTCCATCCCAGAATGGAAGGAAGGCTTTAGGGTTGCAAAGAATGTTCTCATGGGAGGTTGAGAACAGAGCGTACTTTGTGGATGATGGGCCCTGAGTTCAGAGGGCATCAAGGAGGAGGAGGGGCTTGAGGTTGGCTTGGGGTAAATTGGAGCCACATGGGAATTGGAACTGGATAGAAAGGTACCCTAGGAGTGTTGGAATTCTGTCACTAGGACACAGAGCCGAATGAGATTGTCCTGCTCGAGTTGGAGGGGGAGCGGGGAATTCCTATAGATTATAGCCTCCTTTGGGAAGTGGCCTGAGAAGCAGATGGTGCAGGGGAAACGGAGGCCTACCTGTTGGAGAAGCAGAGCCAATGGGCTGGATACCTTCTTCCCAAGAGGTCAGCTTTCACAGAAACACTAAAGATGAAGATCAGAGTTGGCCAATATGACAGTTTTAGACTTAGCAAAATAACTCAGGTTTTTGTAACTCACCATAAGAGGAGACCCACTTTCTCATTTTCTCCCTATTTTAACTTGTTCCTAAGACACCACTCATGAGAGGAACCGTGAAGGGAGAAATCACTGATGAAGCAAAGAAAATTCTTTACCATTTTTCTTTTCATAAAATTAGCTCCATTTCCTCCGATTTTGAAGTTGAAAAGAAGAAATCTTTGTGACCTGTGAGGCCTTGATGTGCCATGGTTCTTAAAGAGCTTGTTGTTGTTGCTGTGGCCCTCTGTAGCCTGAAAAGCAGAACGGCCTGATGAAGCAGTAGATGTGTCCAGAAATTTGAACGTTCTCCTGCATGTTTTTCTGCTTCCAGAATCTACCCGCAAAGGCTCTTCCGTAGTCATTAGATTCTACAGATTAGAACTCTGAGGTCAGGAATCCATCTTCTTCCCATCTGGTGAACCTCCACTCATTGTGGGAGACACATCTGTGTTCTTTGTTTTTCTAACTTTGACATGCAGAGAAATTACTTTCTAGTAAGTGGCTACCTATGCTTGCTTTTCCTTTTTTTTTTTTTAAATATTTTTTGGTGATACTGAGGTTTGAATTGAGGGCCTTTTGCTTACTAGGTCTTGAGTTTTTGCTTAGGGTCAGCCTGGATCACAATCCTCCTACCTATGCCCACCTGTATAGATGGAATTACAGGTATGAACTACCACATCAGGGTTGTTGGTTGAGGTGGGGGTCTTACGAACTTTTTACCTGGACTGACCTTGAACCACGATCCTCCCAATCTTTGCCTCCTATATAGCTAGGATTACAGGTATGAGCCACCACACTCAGCTGCACTTTCAACATCATTGCAACTTTAGTCATGATGTAGTTGAGATTAGTGTTATGAAAACTTTGGTGCTTTGTAAAGAGTTTTCGTGAGAGGGAATATAAATGAAACCATCAAAAGCCATGGAAGTCAGCACTGGACTGTGGGAGGTTCTGTGAGGTTACTCAGGTCCAGAGACATGGAGACTGTTGCTGGTTATGGACACAGGGTCGTTGGATTCCTTTATCAAGGCCTTTCTGTGCAGAGGGTGGAGAGAAAACCGATTTGGGTAGGTTGAGAATTCGAAGTGAAGGTAAGAATCAACAGTACAGACTACATTTTGAGAACTTTGGTTCTTTTTGAGACAGGCGCTAGAAAGGCAAGCGGTTTCTAAGGAGAGTTGATCTCCAAAGACACAAGGCCAGAACATAACACAGCCCATGGCAGGAGAGAGAACAAGAGAGCGTCTGTCACACAGGCAGTAAGGACCTCGTTGACAGCCAGACAAGAGCCGCCTTTGAAGGACTTTTTGTGTACCAAAATGGCACCTTGTTATTTCTCATAACATCTGTGAGAACCAGGTAATGCAGGACCCACGTACAGGTGAGGAAAGTCAATCAGACACCTTGCCCAAGGACCCAAAGCCTCTAAGGGATGGAATTGCCATTTGATGCCAGATAAGTCCAACAAGAAAGGCCACTATGGGGAACTTGCATGAAGAAGTTTGCTCCCACATGCTTCATGAACTCCAAGGAATCCCATAAGGCATTGCTCCTGGTGTGAACTTCCTCCTGGAGGTGCCAGGCCCCCCCTACACCATGTACTGAGAATCCTGTCTATTGATCCACACCTGAGGGCTTCCCAGTTAGAGCGGGAGGCGCCGTGCTACTCTCTGATGGAGAGCATGGTGAATTATGCAGTGATGGTTTGCAATAGTTCAGTCTACTCTGCACAGTGAGAGCAGCTATCTGTTCAGGTCCTCTGATGGGAGAGCCACACTACACTAGGTCTCCATGTACCCAAAAACTGTGCAGCTTACAATCCCAGCATTTTATAAGGCCTGGTTGAATTTGGAGGCAAATGGCATGGCGTCAGGAAAAGCCATGTGAAAAACATTCAATAGCAGGTGTTTTTAGGATTTAATTGCTTCCTGTGCCCAGGCTAAATTAAACTCTGGAATGCATGTTCTATTTATTTACAGTCACCAAGTACACTTCGATATGTAGCAGATAACATGGAGCCCTGGGGTTTTCTTAGCTAATCACAGTGAAAAGAAACCCATTGAAATTTTATTGTTTGTTGATAGACACTTTGTACATTATTACAGCCAGTTCTAATTAGACTTTTTTTAAGCTCAGTGTCTGAGATTGTGCTGACAGTAAATGGTAAAATCAGATCATTGTTCCAACTCAGAAAACATAGGCGCCACAAACTGCCCATAATGCACTGGTCAGCTGTTTGGTGCTTGGCTGAATTCAGTGTGCCTCTGCTTGTGTAGTTAAGGGGCTCTTGGAACATGGTGAAATTCCTCCCAGGCAAAAGTCAAAGGCCATGCTGACTGCATAGTAGAAAATATTTTCAGAGCAAATCCTTTGAGTCATGCAAGAAAACTTTGTTGTTTTCTAAAGGAACTCAGGCCGGTTATATCCTAAACATACTTGCATCTCCTTCCTTCCTTCCCATTTATATTGGACTGGTTTCCACCAAAAAATAGTAGATGTGTTGACAATAATGCCGTCTCCATCTCAGTGAGGATCTCCTCCATGAGGCATTTTCCTCACTCTCAGTGGTATTTATTTTGTCCTGAAATATGAAACATGAGCCCTGGCCCTTTATACCTCTTCTTGCCTGGGGCACATTTGAGGAGGGACAGGCACTGTGTGTTCTGTGTCCCTGGTGCCTGGTCCACAGTAGAGCCCCGCAGGTAGTCATTTCATGAACTCAGCACCCAGGTTTCTGCTTTGTACCTTCGTGTCCCTTAAGCTTGCTAAGTAGCAGTAGATGTCAGAGTTCATCATGTTTGCTTATGAACGGTGAGCACCCCCGGGGGTCTGAATTCCTCTTTTCAGGAAAGAAGCAGATTGAGGTTCAACAGAAACTTCTTATCACCCCCTCAACCCCCCCACAGCCTGCCAGTGGGGCTCAAATGGAAATGCCTGGTCTTTCTAGGTGCCCCATCATTGGTGGTGACCGTCTGGTTATTTTCTTGGAATTGGGACTTGGAAATGACAGGGTAGTTTGAGGAAATACGATATGGGATGTCATTAGGTGGTCTAGACTACCTTATAAAATACACAGCGCACCACCCTTGTATTAAATGCCCATTAATTGAGCCGTCATCACTTGAATTTCAAACAACTTCAAATATCTGAAGTTTCTTCAGGAGTGCTGGCCCAGGTTAGACTTGTGAAAGTGCAATATATTCACAGGTGAAATACCATAGTGAAACGCCTTTGAATAGTGGACACACACTTAAATAATGAAGGACATGTAAGAACCTTGTAAATGCCACAATGTTCCCCTAACCAGCACAAAAATAAAAATATAAATAAAAAAGTGAAGAACAGGAACGCAGAATGGATCCTGTCAGGGTAGGGTACTAGTGAGAGCAGGAAGGTGAATGTGATCGATTTAGTGTATATACTTGTGTGAAAATGGAACATTGAAACCTGTCAAAATCATTTTAAGTAGGGAGGACAGGGATGAGGGAGATGATTGGGGATGAGCCTAATCAAGATTCATTGTAAACACATACGGAAATGTCACAGTGAACCCTCTCCCCCTACTACTAATATATGCTAATAAAAATGTTTTAAAAAAATAAATCCTTAAAAAATTGGCCAAAGATTAAAAAAAAGTGTTGGCCCAAACATATGATCTCAATTTCATTGGTTCCTTATGAAATGTGTCTTTAAAACAGAATGAAATTCAAAGCAACCCGTCCTACTAAAGGTGACTCCTGTTGAAGAGTCATAACTAGCTCTTGGAAGGTTGTGCCCAGTTTCTTCTGCAACCAGAAGAGTTACTGAGCATCTGCAACACCTCTAGCGAGCAGTTCCCACCCTCCTAGCCAGAGGGGTTGGATTTTTACATCCTTTCCATCCCTGGATGGCAACTCAGTTCCTGTTAGCCTACAGAGGGTTCTGTCTACCTTAATCACAGCCCTTCTCTTAATGAGGTGCACAGCAAACACCTCTTCAGCAGTGTGGTTTTCAAAGGATTCTGGTTTCAATGGGAATGAACACAACTGCAATTCATCCTGGTATTTTCTCCCAACAGGTTCTTAGTATGATAATCAACGCAGCCTACAAGCCTGGAAGGGTATTAAGAGAATTACAACTAGTGGAAGATCCACACTGGAATTTTCAGGAGGAGACACTGAAGGCAAAGTAAGTGCTTTCCATCCTGGAAAACAAAGATTTTTGTAGTACTTCACCTGCTGTTTTGAACTTGTGTTTCCTGGTTTTGACATAAGCCAGAGAAATGGACACAAATGGGAAGACCATCATTTTGCAGTTCTCTGAATGACTTAAAAACTCACCAGCATTTTTGCTCTACAGAGTTGCCTTAAGCCTTAGGATTTCTAGAAATCTACTTAACTGATACTTTTCTTATGTTACATGTTCAGAATAAAAATACAGTTTCTGAGCCAATTGATTATTTGTTGGAAAGAAAGAAAAATTATAAGAAAAGGATATCCCTTATCATCCTATTATGTTCAGTAATAATACCTTGGTGTTTGATATTGTGAAGACCTTGCTGAAAGAGTCCCTGCTCTGAGCTTTGAGAATTTTTTAAGATAAAAACTGCTGATCACACGCATTTGGCTTGAGTTAAATAAAATGACAGTGGGTTCCTCGACTGCTTCTGTTTGGAAATTGAGAGGTGACATATTTTGCATTGCATTAAGTGTTTGACCTCTGAAAACGAGAACAGGAATGGCATCAATGTGCTTGAACTTGGTTATTGAGTAGATCTGTGGGAAAAGACGCATTTCTCAAGATAACTTTTTGTTGAATGGTTGGTTGGTGTCCTGAGAGGGCTTTCAGTCCTCATGTATGGTTTTCCAATGGAGAAGATCTTAGCTGATTAACTTCTCTTACACTCGTGTCCTGAAACATCACTTATATAGCGCAATTAGAAAACGTTAAAAAAAAAAAAAAGCAAAGCACTTTTTGATGGCTAGAGTAGAATCTAAGCTCATCTTTAAAGAGGGCACCTGCCCTGTTCATAGTGAAAATTGGGGCATTCCTGATCGTTTGTATGACCGGTAGCCTTTTCCTCTGTAGTTAACTCATCCTGGTACTGAGTGGGGATGGACGTGTTAGGCTGTCGCTCACCATTCGTTGTCAGTAACCCATGCACACGCGTGTCTTTTTAGAATGGCTCTGTCATTTTAGATTCTGCAAAAGTATTTTCAGAGCTAATGATACTCTGCCAACTTAGAACAATGGAGAGAATATATATAATAAGAAGAGGTTTTATTTGTATAAAATGGCATGAAGAGGTCATTGTATAGCTTCGTTCCCAAGCAATACTTAAATGAGCTTCTCCCCCCCAAAAAATTTTTTCCTGTCTAATGTTCCATATTTTTCTATTTCCTCTAAAGAAGATGTCATCAGCCATGGGACATTTTCTTCTAAAGTCATATTACTGGTGATGTCAGAGATCCTTCTTTCTTGTTTTAGAACTTTTCTGTATGATTCAGTACAGCCTAATTACATCTCATGGATATAGAAACAGTGCAAGTACAAAATCCTAAACTATATTAAAACCTCCCCTGTTCCTAAATCAGCCAGAACCTTGCTCCATGACTGGGCTCCATGACATTTTGCAAGTGTTTGCACTTATTTTCATGTTACCAAGTCGATCGGAGCTTTCATTAAATCCAGCCTGATACAATCAAAACAGACACAGTGCAATCCGGCCCTACTGAATGGGAAAGGCAAAGTACTACCACTTATATCAAAGGTGACAGGGAGTTCCAGATCAAAACCTTACCTGACAGCTTTTAATGAGGAGATGGCGGTCTGATGGGGTTTCAACTACACCACATCAGAGCAGCACCTCCTAGCAGCTGGTAATGATGGCAGATTTACAGTCAGCAGGAGCCTCCTCCAGACAGTCCTTCCCTCCTGATGGAAAATGACAACTTTTTAGATTGTGACAACTTGGCTCTGTTATCTTTGGTCTGGTCACGGGGAGAGCGAGTTGGTTTCTTCCCATTTTGCTGAAAGACAGAAATGTGTTCTGCTGTGAATAAATTAACTTAGCAGAGAGGAGACCTGTGTTTAAGGCATTCAGCTGTAATATTATAGACTGTCTTCAGGAAACAAGGTCATGAGATTGTCCCCAGGGCAGTGTGGTTGCTGTCATTTCACATATGGGATTTTAACTGCTGTTTTCTAAAGAGTAAAAACCTATTTACCTGATAGGATGAAGGGGCCTCCCAAAAGGTTTTGACCAGAGGGCTGGGGGTGTGGCTCAAATGGCAGAGTGCCCGCCTAGCAAGTGCAAGGCCCTGAGTTCAACACCAGTACAGTCAAAAAAAAGTACAGTTGTGTTCTTAAGGTTTTTTTTTTTTCTATTTATCCAACCAAGCATAGCTTTTATGCTGCTAAGGAAATGATTGCAGTGTTTGAACAACTTGTAAGAAGTCTACCATATCATCAGTCCTCAACATGTATCCAGAAACAAAAACAGGCTAGCTATTGTGCACAGGAAAAGTGATTTCCATGTAGTTCATTTCAGCTGTTCTAGAACAGAATATCCCATCTTTCTGATGAATTTAGGTGTTCTAAATTTTGACTTATATTTTGAATGTTAGGAGAAGGAATTTAGACTATACTTTAGGGGAATTTTTTTTAAAAACCTTCCAACTCGCTGCATCTAGAGGCATTTAAATACATTTTTCAATGTGTTATAAATTCTACTTGGGAAAATAAAAAGTCTGTGTTAACTTTCTGTGCATAGCTTCTGTGCTGATCTCTGCAAAAGCCCGGTGGAGTCTAAACGGACTTCCCAGCTTCTGTAACAAGCATTGAGTTCATAAGAGAAATAGCCTGGTGTAATTTCAAATGAATTACTTCCCGTTATCATTTAGGCAGAGGCAAGGGAGCAGTCTGATCTTTACTTTTAGCTAAGTCATGCTCAGCTCTATGGAAACATTTTGGTTTCTTCTTTTCCATAAGCATTGGCTAACCTTGTATGTACTTTAATTTATTTGCTCTTTTTGGGGGGAAGGAGGGTTTTACTCCAGCCTACATTTTATGACCAGTAAGATGTAATATTTGGCTGTCAGGTGGTTGATGTGAAAAGGAGCCCTAAACTGAGAGACCCTGCACTGGAAAATGTTCTGTGTATTCATGTGTCAAGATTAAGATGGGGCTAGTGACACAAAGACTCTGTGTTGGAGGAAGTCACCACCATACTAATTCCTGCAGGGGCACAGGATGGCTTTCCCACAGAAGCAGAAGGTCCTTCCCTGCTGCTGAAGGGCTGTTAGAATCCCCATTGGTTCTCTTTTACTTCCTGTGGTGTTTGAGATGGAACTCAGCTTGAAGAACTGGAACTTTGACCTCCAGGCCCTAACCTCACTACCTAAGGAGATACTGCTGAAAGATGCCAGCCAGGGTCATGTGGAAAGCGACTGGGAGAACTTGGGCCACACCCACTTACCCCATTTGGACTGTGCTGTTAGTTATGAGCAGATCATTACAACTTTTCTTTTTGACTCAAATCCCTTTTGGTTCTTCTCTACTCAAGTAGACAAGACTGTTCTTTCTAGCACTCCTTGTGCCTGCCTTCCTCTATCTCCCTCTACTCTTGCCATAAGTACTCAGATGGAAATAAGTCCCTACTTTGGTTAAGGGGAGAAATTGGAAGGCCACACACACTTCCTTATTGATGTCAGGGGAGAAAAGTGTTTCCAGTACTCTCTGAGGTTCAGTGACTGGGATCCTGCAAGTTAAGTTGACAAAACACAAGTTAGTGAAAGGACAAGCCGAGTTGTTTTGTATGTACAGTGCACACCCACGGGAGTGGTTGGTGATGAGTGACTCTAAGAAACAGGAGGAATTGGAGGCTTCTATAACTTACCATAGTGGAGAGAGGAGGTGGGGAGTAAAGGCTTCTATGGGAAGAATATGGAGAGTTCTTTGGGAAAGAGAAGTTGGTTTGGAGAACAAACAGGAGATAAGGAAGTTCATGATGGGGGCTGGTAGACAGGCTCAAAAGTGGTAGAGCACCTGCCTAGCAAGCGCAAGACCCTGAGTTCAAACCCCAGTACTGCCAAAAGAAAGAGTCCAGAAAGTTGGTGATAAAATAAAAAATAGAGTGGGGAGACTCTGAATGCAACCCCAGATCCTCACCCAGATTTCCTGACCTCATCATGTCTGTAATGTAGAGCTCAAGCCCTGTCCTGGCCATCTTGGAAGACTGTGTTAGGATCAGATGGTTGAATGACAGAGAGTCCTTGAGAATAAATAAATTAGATTTCCCTGGGCTAGGGGTATAGCTCAGTGGTAGACAACTTGCCTGACGTATAGGGCCCTAACATGCAAAATAAATTATGCAAATGCAGTTATGCCATTAAATTCCAAGCATTTGTTTAAAGATTAGAGCTGCCTTTTTTTTGTATGCTAATACCTTCAGAAGTTCAGGATATCTTCAAAAGCAAGTTGCTCTTAATTCATTGCCCAACTCAACAGGATGGAGTTTCCACTTGACATTCTGATACTCTCTGAGAGTGAATGTGTACTCTATCAGCAGGGCTGGAAAATACTCATCTGATGGGCAGCATATTATTTAGTAAGCCTAATATAGTTGAGTCATATAACTATATGCTTAGTTTTTAACATGTTTAGTTTGAAACAATCCCAAACTTAGGGAAAAATTGCAAGTACAGAACAAAAGTCCTATTTTTGTCCTCCTGATTTCGCATCCTGATTGGTTTGAAAATAAGTTGTGACAAGATGTCATATTGCCCCCAAATAATCGTATGTCCTACAAAACAAAGACATCCTCCTGGGTGACCACAATCAGGAAGTTAGAATGAAAACATTTCCATGGAATCTTTAGAGTCCACTCACGTTCCACAGGTACCCAGCATCATCCTTGATGGCAGAAGTGTACAGTGCTGTCCCACATTGCAAGGGGGTGCCATACCAGGTTCATCTCTGCCCTTCTGCAGTGGTTGCCTAGATTTTCCTTGAGTCTCATGACCTGGACATGTTGGAGGGCCATGGATACTGTTGTTCTGGGGTTCTTTTATGTTCTTTGCGGTTGAGTCAGTTTGTGTACCCAAAGCAGGAATAGCACAGAGAAATGTTGCATTCTTCAGTTTCAATTAGTGTCATCACAGCTGATGTTCACCTTGTCATTTAATAGG